ATTGGTAGAATGAAATAATTGTATTTCTTTCAATACAATTTTATTTATTATATATTTTTAATGGCTCTCAAAATATTTTTTTATTTAATAATTATTTTTATTCTTCAAACTGTTTGATATAATTAGAGTCATTATAGTTAGCATATTGCTAGTCAAGCCCAGCAAATATATTCTAAATTAATATGTTAAGTTTATTAAATTTAAAAAATATAAAAATGAGTCTATTAATCCTAACCCATTAAGTTTTAATATAAATTTAAATTTATCATAACATATTATATCTTAGCAATCCAACCTAATAGGCTATAATAACATATTATATCTTAATAGTTCTACTTGATAACTCAATCTGTTAATTAGCAATTTAAGAGGCAAATAAAAAATAAAATGAGAGTTAGAGCACACAAGATAAAAAACAATGCATTTGAATTTGAAAAGTTATTTTCTTTTCCACTCTTGCGCACAGAGAGTGAGAGAGACTCCTTTCATGATTCAATCTCATATATATATATATATATATATATATATATATAAAACCTTCATTATTGTTAATGTACATTTTTTTGCATATTTAATATCTTGTGAATTTTATTTAATTTTTTAGATAAGCGATAATTGAATTATATAAAAAGTTCTATTTGATTGTTTAATGTTTCTTTCTATTTGGCTCTCTTTTAAAAATGCTCTAGCTCAGCCCTTGCCGGTAGGGTTTTAAACAGAAGTCATTAACAGGCAAAATGAGAACAGAGGAAATAATACCATAGAATTCAAGAAAATCACATTGCGTTGATCGGACAACACCATATATATGTCTTTATCACCAAGAGCTTTTCAATATTCCAAAAAACAGGAAGAAATTAAGGTTGTCTCATCAAAGACGTGCGGAGAAATATTCTTAAATGGAAAAACAACGGAAAAGAATGTGGGAGCAAAAAGTCTTGAGGGATTTTGTTGAATAGTATCTTGTAATTGTTAACGCATATAAAATTTTGTGGACTAATTCAAACGGGCATAGCGTCCAAAACCCTTATGCTTCTTATCATGCCTACGAAATAAATATGTATTGCACGTGCTCAAGTATTGTGTCTCAATTTATTGGTAAAATATTATTTTTGAAGATTCTGCCTTTAATTCAAAAGTCTTGATATATGTCGAGGAATGAGATTAATAGTCACTTTGTGGTCCGGAATTGAATTGTAGATTTTCAAGCATCGTTAATTAATGGAGCTGGATGATCTTGAATAAATATTCTAGAACCTAAAATTATACAAGTGGGTAGAAGCTATAATTGCATTTTTATCATTTTCATTTTGCATGGTTCTAGAATCACGCTTGAACTTAATGAATTACAAATTTATTTATTTATATGGGAGACTTTTTTGTTTTGATTTTTGGTATATGGGAGAGCACTATTATTGAAAATTAAGATCTTAAACTTAATTCTATTAGATTGGTGATAAAAGAAATCTCATATCAGTTAAATCAGTATATCTTAGACATATAAATAAAATAATAATTTTTCCACCGATTGTGAATTTATTTTTGGTTTGATGCCATGTAGGATTTGACAAATTTTAGCCTTGACTTAAGTTCAAGCTCAAAAAAAGCCTTTTTTTGGTTTGGTTATAAGAGAAAATGGGTTTTGGGTTTTGTGCTAAGGATCTAGATTGACAACTAAAACTAGCCATGAGCTTTCTGTCAAAATTAACTTTCATTTTTCATTTATACAATGCCCAAAGAAATCAATCTCTTAAATGGGGACACGCTTGCTTTTTTTTCTAAGGCAATTGGTGTTGCTTATGCAAACAAAGCTGAACTTACTGCTGTAAAGGAGGCAATTTTAATTTTTGCAGCCCGCAGGTGGAACGCAACTCACTCCCTGCTTCTTGAATGTGACTTCAATACTATGGTTAAATGGATCAAAAAGCCGAATGAGGTGCTATGGAAATTAAGGCCACTTGTTGTTCTCACTCTCAAACTTTTCAATAATGTTTCGAGTTGGGACATCAGGCACATCTTGCGATCTGCGAACAATGCAGCTGATAGCTTAGCAAAGGAAAGGGTGCTCTGAACTCTAAGTTTACAGTGGGTGATTGGTGTTGATAATGGAAGGGATGTGGCTTATCTAAACCTTGCTACTTGACACATCTGTTTTTTCGTTTCTGTTCTGCTTCAGGCAGATTTGTGCTACTCTTTTTCTTTTTTTTGATTGCAGGGGCGGATGTCTTGTAAGGAACCCACTTTGTTCATGGTCTGTTAGAACAATAAACTGAAAAACTTAGAAAGCTTCAAGGCGTGTATCAATGCCACTGTCCTTAAAGTTTTATTTGCCCCCACTTGTAGTGTGCAAAAGAATTATCAGCGTATAAATCTCGAAAATACAATGAAGTCCAGTGATTGATAGCGTTTTACATTGACGAAATCAATCCACTGAGCACTCACCGGAATATAACAAAATTATCAAACTTTTATAATATTTTTTCTGCAGGAAAATAGTATAGAAGAAAACTTGGAAGATGTTTGAGGAAGAAGAAGGAGAGATATTACTGTTTTTCTGATTTTCATTTGATAAGGAGAGTCCTCTTTTATATGCATAGATACCTGTTCTCAATTCAAAGAGTTGCTCCTGTTGGTGTTTTCCAACAGACGTGACTCTTTTCTTATTTTATTTTATTTATTGATTTAATTTTCAATAAACATAACTCTTCTTTTAATTTTTAACAGTCACAATTTTCTTTTTATTTCGATATGAAATTATATTTTTATTTAAAAATGTCCAACAGGGTTTGGGGAGATTTGCTGGTTGGCGCATGTGGAGCAATTAGGAGGGTAACAAATCACAGCCTGGAAGTGTACAGGGGAGTTTTTTTTTTATTTACTGGTTATGATCAAATCCAATGTTTAGGGGCTTTTTTCTTTGTTCTTCTCCTAGTTACCTCTGCTTTGGTTTTGTTTAAGGTTGTGCCAACCTTATTGCTACTTTGGGGTAATGCAAATGTGTTGTTTTTGGGCTCTTGCGGTAGCTAGGACCTGCAGATAGTGTTTTTTGATGTTCTCTGCAGATGGATGTTGGTGGTTGGAGGCTAAACCCCTCCTGGTTTTGTATCCTTTTTGTTAACCCTCCGTTTTGAATGGAATGATACCAGCATTTCAAAAAAAAAAAAATTATTATACATATATATTACAAGTGCTGAATATGGTGCCTAGTGTTCGAAATATAGGCTTAAATAGTTGAAGCACTCAACCATTGAAAAAGTCCAGCTTTTCATTAAAAAGGAAAATAAAACAAAAGAAAAGTCTGGGTAACACTTCGTTCGAATTGAGATTTCACATA